TAGGGTACTGTTATGAAAAAAATGCAAATATCACAAGTGGCACCATACTGTCCTTTGGGTATGTACAAAAAATCACAGTGGTACAAAATAGACAATCTAAAGGGGAGGATCTAAGCAATCTGTCCCTGTATCCCATAGTAGCCTTACTTGCAGTGCACACCAATTTATACTTTATGTTCATTAGAATTGCAAAGTTTGTACAGCCACGATTGCTGCTAATAAGAATAAGATGCAGCACTTATGGGGACAAATGAGTCTCCTTCTGCACTCCTTCTCCTCCACTGCATAGAAGTGAAGCATAATAAAAGGAAAGGAGCTGCTAAAGGTTGATAATCAGGAATTGTTTTAGCTCTTGTATATTACTTGACACACAAAACATTTTGCATGCTCAAAGGTAAATTCTCATTCAAACTTGACAGCTGTCAATAATACATGAATAAATCAATGTTACAGGGTCAGTGAGGGTTGACAGGCAAAGGGTGTGAGGTTCAGGGTTCACGGCAGATGATAATTATAAATGGATTTGTCTACTGCTGTAAGGTGATTTATTTTCTTTAGTTTCAATGTGGTTATATGCTGACAAAGCAGTTGAGAGAACAGAGTGGGTAATGCTTTAGATTACAGTCTGCCATGTACATCGTAATTACTCCGAAGTTAGTAACTAAAATTTAAAAGTTACGGTGTAACGTTTTGTACTAATGATGTACCAGCACACAACGTACCAATACCAGTACCAATAAAGAGGTAACAATTTCTGTTTGAGTTTGAATTTGAATTCATTAACAAGCACTGAAAAAAACACTATCATCCAGTAAAATGTTATGTAACTTATGATTCATCCATAGCCATAATATATACTGAAATATACTGTGATGTTGTGCTTTAGTTGGCTTGCCAGCCAACGGCAACCAATTACTAACGTTATCCTGTGCAAAATACTGTAGTTGTAACATTATGGCTTTCAACATTACTTCACCAGCAAGTAGATATTACTATCCTGTGTACCACCGGTGTTATGTCAAAGTGTTGATTTAGCCTTCAAGAAATGTAACAGTACAAAGCAGAGCGTTTTGTTCATTCTAGCCGTTTGTGATGCAAGGCAGGAGCAGACAGATACGTTGGCACAGACCTGCCACTGTTTGCTTCATTATATTCCATTTAGATTTATTTAAGTTTTACCGATACTCAGGTACACAGCTTCTCCACCGTCTCAGTCGCTGTAACTTACGTGACCCACATAATATACAATAATACAACATAATGACACAGGACAACAAAGTGGAAGACCCATGCACTACAGGAATGCTACTTACTACAGTCTAACTGTTATAAAGTGTGGCAACAATCTCATTTAGAATATTCAGTCTAGCTCACTAACTGTTTTCATTATCATCCAGTACATTAAGCTATATGCTGACATTGCTGAGCCTCTGGTGAAAGATAAAAAAATAGCATTAGTTATTGAAAAGCAGGAAGGTGAGCTTATGGAAACATATCATGTCTGCAAATGCAGTCAATGTAACGTTATCATGTAACTAGCATGGATAACTTCTGCCTCAAGCAACCATATGTCTCCACATGATCTTGACGTGAGGTCACAAAAGTTGGAGGAAGAATGATTCTGATGATATCATCATGCAAATACCATATGACAACGTCTGGTGCATACATTTTACTTCGACATGAGTTTCAGTCACCTCTTGAATAATTCCAGGATAAATATTGTCCTCATATTTAAAAAAAATAAAATACTGGTCGATTGATGTAAAAGTTTTGCCAAGAAATTTTGGGCAAGTTTTGACTGTTATCCTCCTGTGTGGATGCTATTGCCTGAACCTTGAAGGTAAAGGTTTTGTTACTATAACAATGACACTCCAGGATCTGGCTTGTTGAGGATACGCAGCTTACATCACAGTAACTGATTTGTCTCTGGGTAACTTCTTTGTGAATGAACATGGTGGAAGGTACTACCGGGAGACTATCTGGCAGATTCTTTGCTTTGTCTTTCCCTTTGTCTTTTGAGAAGGCCTCTAACCCCATCTGGAACGCTCGCCTCAAAAAGGTTCAAGGTGCCTGACTGGAACCCACGTTGCTGCAGCTTAATACAAAACAGATAGGAATTGCCTTTTTGCCTGTATTGTGTTTTGATGAGCTGATTGTGCCAAAGCACTCATGGTCTTCCACTCTACCAACATGTAGTCCTCCACTCCAGTTTGGAGTGTTGCCTGCAAAGCAAAGTTTAACAGCTTGTATTTCAGAGGAGTAGCAAGCATAGTTTTCTAAGAAATATACATGAATTAAGCATTTATGATCTTTCATACTTCTCTTTAGTTCCCGTGAGCGATATGCCGTTTTATGCTAAAGAGGTGTCTTCTGAAGTTTTTATGTTGGCATTTGAAGAGCTCTAGCAGGTTCTCCAGTCACCTCCGTCGTCTTTTTCACTGTTGCTATGACAGACACCTTCTCCCTTTCACCTTCCTTGTTCTCTTTTTCTCTCTGAGCACAGTTTCCATTATCCACTGTGTAAAACCACTTGCAAATCCCCCTCAGTTGCAACTCTCACTAGCAGTTGGACATTCATTGTACATGCAGTCCTTCAAGTTTGTGTCACAGCATATTGACTCTGCCATTTTCTCCAAGTCAGTACACCCAATGAGTCAGAGACAATGTAGCATCTCTACAAGAAAACATTGATTCTCATGTACCTTGCAAAGGCAAGTCTTTCTGTCTGCACTGGATGGCTGAACCACCCAGAAGGGCTGCATAGGAGAGGACAAAGTGTATGAGATCCCGTAGTTGGGGTTCTCAAGGACGCAACGCATTATTCGCTCTGCAGAGAAGGTGATTGGCTGCAATCTTCATTCTCTTCTCGAGGACTCTGAGGCGAGCAGGAAAGATTGTAGCTGACGCTTCCCATCCTGGTCATAAACTGTTTCAGACTCTCCCCTCTGGCAGGAGGCTGCAGTCCATCAGTACCAAAACCTCTCGCCACAAAAACAGCTTCTTCCCGTCTGCAGCTAGCCTCATTAACAAGGCCTGGATCCCTCACTGACACTCCCCTCTTGCAAATGATACAAATGTACTGTTTCATCTCGTGTCGTCCACAGACCTGGCACGTTGCGCATATTTTTTGTTGATTGTTGATCTTTGTTGTTGTATATTTTTATGTTGTCAGTTTATATATTTATATGTACACAATATTCTCTTCCGTTGCGTTACTTCTGCACGGCACAGACCCAGAATAATGCACATGTATATATCTGCAACGTTGTTCTTCTATTCCGTATTTATATATTTCTACATTCATTTATGTTGACTGTATGTTTGTCTACGCGTAGCACCTTATCACCACAGCAAATTCCTCGTATGTGTAAAACACTACTTGTCAATAAAGCTCCTTCTGATTCTGATTCTGATTCCACCACCTGCCCTGCCGCTATCCGTTCTAAACATAGTCGGACGGCAAGATTGCCCAGCAACATTGCTCAAAAAGTTGCCCCGTGTATCATCAGCTTTAGTGTTTGCAGTTTACAGCTCTTACCCAACTGGTGTCATTCCTTGTCCAGAATGATACAACTTTGTCATGCTTTTGAAAGCATTGGGATCTGTATTTCAACTTGTTGGAGATGATGGATATCTTCCTGTGGTTCTGCTGTATTCTTGAAATTGCTAAAGTCTTCACTCACTCTCATTGTCAGCCTCTTATCCCGTGTACAGGGTCGCGGGGGGCTGGAGCCAATCCAGCTGACATCGGGCAAAAGATGGGGTAAACCTTGGACAGGTTGCCAGAATCTCCTGAATTCTTTATTTGAACTTACATTTTATATACTTTCAATTATATACAATATTTTATACTTTCTATACTATCTTAAAACATTTTTGCTTGATAGCCTTGCTCCACCCATGATTAATTTAGACAGACACAGCAGTGTAGGGAAGAGACAGTGAGCAGTGAGACAACTTGAGCCTCCACTGATTATTTTAAGGCATGGATTTGTGTTTTACTGACTGCTTAACCAACTTAACATTCCTGTGACAGCGGCTATCCCGTGAAGTGCTGGCTCCACACCTCATTCGCCAACCCACAGAGCGTAGGGTTGTCAATTTGTGTCTGTAACACAGCATCAATCAGGACGTGGCCACTGGTGCGAGTATGTGGTGCACAGGGCTGGCTGAGGGACTGGCATACAGTAATCTAAGACTAAAAACTAATTAATTATTCTGTCCAGTTTGAGAAAAAACGTTCAAAGACAAGAAAAGCATATAATTTTCTCTGCTATATATTTGAATAGCTGAGTTGAGACTTGAATTTGATCACTGAGACAAATGCCTGACACTGTGTAGCTTCATTTATTAGCCGAAGGAATTTCCTTTGGATCTTACTGTTATTACAAATAAAGATCAGTGCAGTGAGAGAGAGAAAAAAGAGCATTTTAAGATCATATAAATTTGGATCAAAGGACTATTTCTCAGGTGCTAAATTTAAGAAGTATGAGAAAATGTTCAAAATCTCATATTGATGTTAAATTCAGCTCAGTTATGTATAAGACAAAGAATAGATTAGATTACAAAATGTGCTTGCCTCTAATTTACACTCCCATATACCACGGTGTGTCTCACATCATGCAGATGTAAATATAAATGATCCGTATTGTATAGCGCCTTTCTAGTCTTCTCGACCAGTCGAAACGCTTTTACACTACAAGTGCCTAAGTGCTCAAACAGAAAGTACATTCATACACTGGCAGCCACCAGAGGCAATTCGGGGTTCAGTATCTTGCACAGTATCTTCGACATGAACAGCAACACTTTCAGTTTATTGCTATTTGTTGTCGCTTGAAAAAAAATGACTTTCAATCATAAATGTCAATCTTTGTCGTATGTATGTGAATGTACGCATGCGTGAAATTTTCCTCACAACTGTCAGAATAGGGTGGCGATGTGAACTCTCTTGTCCTGTATACTATCTTTGTCAGGCTCAACAGCTGGGTGGAACTCCCACTAAAGTTGCCTCAATGACATTTTCCATAGTGATGGCAGTTGGACTGTGAGACAAGCTAGCTGTTGTATCAAGTGTTTATTCCCCCGGTGTGCCATGGATTTTAATGTGAAGCGGTTAGCCGCAGACGCTGGCACTTTCCTGAGCCGCGCGGTACAAGTAAGTTTGACCGTGTAATTCGTGTGACGTTAAGTTGTTGTTATTAACCAACGTTAGCTGCTAGCTTAACTAGTCTGGTAGCTTTAGCTCGCTTGCTAAATAGCTAACTTAACGCTACCGTGGGTGTTATTGTGTAACGTTAGCTATGTAGCCCGTTATCATTTGAGAGAAAAGTCTGTATTCTGCAAAGTTGGCTATAGTTATCGTCACATTATATAATTGTTTTTTAAACGGCAACTGTTAGCCCCGACATCGCAGTCGCCATAAGTCAAAACTTTACAGCTGTAACGTTACAACATAACCCTCAAAGCAGGCCTCCGAAACCATTGGATAATTTAGCGCTATCATCAACATTAGCTAGGGAGATTATTTTGTAAGCTTGTGTGCCCTGCTTGCTAACGTTCCGTCCCGTAACCCACTCTTCGTACTCTAGTGTGTCCAGACAATAGGTTATGTGCACACTATAACCGGATACTTTCTTTTTCAGTTTACAGAAGAGAAGTTTGGCCAGGCTGAAAAGACAGAGTTGGATGCCCATTTGGAGAACCTTTTGGTCAGAGCGGAGAACACCAAGCAATGGACAGAAAGGATTATGAAGCAGACAGAAGTCTTACTACAGCCCAACCCAAGTAAGACCAACACTTTAGAGTCTGTGATGAACTTGACTCGACTGAGAAACAAAATGCTGACCCCCTTTTCAGGGTTCAGGGCATTGTAGGGCAGGTACCCACTCTATAAACCAAACCTCATTTATACGGATGTTAACTTATTGCCTCTCACTTTGCTCATCAGTACATTTTTAGATTTCTTTACTAATGACGTAACACAAATTACTCCATTCTCCGGTAGATTCATCATAATGGTGATCTCACCACAAGTTGTTTCTTTTAACCTTAGAAACCATTTTTTAAATCCACAGTATCAGTTCATATCTATGTATATTATATAAACAATAATCAAATCGGTTCAGACAGTTGAAGTCATGTTTGTGCACTGAAGAGTTGCTCAGTAATTCAGAAAATGCCTGATTTTAGGAGATGTTGCCAGTAAGGAGGGTCATGAAACATCTCTGAGATGGTGTTTGACATACATCAGTACCCTCTGTGAAGTCTGTAAGCTCAGCTGTGCATCCTCCTCAGCTCACACCATGGTGTCATAACAAACACAGGCAGACTGCTGATTACAGGCCTGTGTAAAGTCTTGGATATGGTAAAGTGGACATGTCCTACTTTTTTTATGTCCATATACAACATACCACAGATATGCTGGCTGCCAGTGTTGTCGCGTGATGTGATGACATTATGAAAGCTTCTATTATAGTTTGCTAATATAAGGCAGGCTGTTTGGATCCACTGTCCCAAAGTCACTGTTTGGCTCCCTCACTGTAGTCTTGTGACTTTGTAATTGAGTTTTCTTGTTGCAATCTGCAGATGTCCGGTTAGAGGAATTCGTGTATGAGAAACTGGAAAAAAAAGTCCCCACGCGGATGAACAACCATGAGCTGCTGGGCCAGTCCATGATCGAATCAGGAAATGAATTTGGTCCTGGAACTGCCTATGGTGAGTGATACACTAACATACAGCCCCTGCTGAATTCTGGGTAATGTTGGCTGTGGTTCATACCAGTTTTAGTTGTGGAGTTTATTTAGCTGATTCCTGTAGCTGGTTGACTAACGCAGTCCTCCCCCCTCCCCTGCAACATTCCTTAATTGATGGAACAAATAAAGTGATTGAAAGTAGATGATATTCATCATTTTGAGATTATCGGTATCCTTCGATACCTGCACTCACAAGCCTGATATATCATCCTAAATCGCAGCTGATCTAATCTAAAACAATTACTGGCTAGCATTAAATATATATTTTTAAACTGTAGAGAAAAATGCAGCTGAATGACTTCACTTTTGACAAACTGTACATCTACAGCACAACCCAATGTATTTTTCTATTTCATTGATAGAAAAAAAATCATCTAAAACAAAATGTTACTGGCTAAGATAACATGTTTAGTAGATTCTACTCTGCATGACAGACGATGCCATGCCGCTGATGGCTGACATCACAATGTTGAACAGGCATCATGATGGTACCGTAAATAAATCCACTGTGTCCGCATCTTGTAACATAATTCCAGAGATTTTCCAGAGTGAAATATATGTATGGGAAACTCATGCCTTTATAAGACAACCGCTAGCTGCCCCACCCGATGTCATTGGCATTATAATGCATTCATCATTATGAATGCATTACATAGCCATCGTCCGTTCTGCTCTCTAAATATCGGTCATTGAAAAGTTCATATTGGTCAACCACTAACTGAAAGCTTCTTAGCTTCCAGTCATTAAGGGTTAGTTGTTGGGCAAGCTTTCATAAAATGCTTGTTTAGTTTTCCAGAGTTCTGTCTAGTGTAGATTAGTACTGAGTAAAGGCTCTTCAGGTATCCACGGGCCTCTGTGTCTTCTCAAGATTAAAGTATTTACGTTTTTTTTAGTTGACTATAGTGCCACAGTGTACAGTCTCCTGTCCAGTGTTGTACAGGGAATGATGCTTTGTTTGTGCTGCTGACAATTCCAGGAAATGCTCTGATAAAATGTGGTGAGACGGAGAAGCAGATTGGTGGGGCAGAGCGGGAGTTAATTAAAACTGCTGCCATCCACTTCCTGACACCTTTCAGGAACTTTCTAGAGGGTGACTTCAAAACCATCCAGGTGAGTTGGACTGCCGGCTACAGGCAATATTATGTAGCTGCCGTACCGGAGGCTGCAGTTTCAGGACCGCAGCAATCCTGAGACCGCAGTTCTAGGGCCGTAGTTCTTTTGCGATAGCACCAGCTAGTGAAATCGTGGTGGTAATGCACATCAATAACCCTGTCTGCTAGCACTGAGGCTGATGTGCGCAGCTGTAGGGTTAACCGCTCGACATGCATATAACTTAAGTTTAGGCACACACTCGGTGATGGTTGTGGTAAGGATAACTGGCTTCGGGGGGCTGTCCAGAGTAAAATAGCTAGCTGGCAGTATCAAAGTAAACAAGGGTCCTAGAAATGCAATTCCGGTCCTAGGATTGTGGTCCTGAAACTGCTGCCCACGATACTGCAGCTACATACTACTCGCTACAGATCTTTCACTTCACTGAACTTACAGCTGCAGAATGTAGACATTGCCATTTTGCAGCCTCAATAATCAGGAATCATATTTAACTGTCTTGTGTCCTCAAGTCAGTTCAGATATTTAAGTTTCAAATTGTTTTGTGGAGCTGATGTTTATTAGAAGAAAATCTAGAAATTGGTCTACAGTGCTGTTTATAGGATTTCCTTTAACAGGTGATCACAACCACATTACCTCAGCATTATGACACCTGCTGTGGGGTTGAGGTCATTACCATCATTCGTTTGTTTCCTTTGCTTTGGCAGTGAACTCAGATTTCTTATCAGCCTCATTTAAAGCTGCAGTTAAGATTTAGTGAAAGCAACATGAAACACACTCTGGCTGACCTTTCTAAAGCTTTTAATAGTGAAGCAGCTACAACATCCAATGTAGTAGTAGTAAAGTTAGCAATTGCTAACTCATTCAGTGAATGAAAATGGCCTACTTAAAGATATGGACGTTCGGACGCTTTTTTGTTACCAGATGAGTTTTAAATATTGCAACAAGGATTAGTAGAAGAAGAAGATGCTGATGTAATTTGCGGTATTTCAACCATTTATCAGTTGCCTCCAAACAATCTAGCACATTGAACATGCAGTTCTACTAATAATCCCCATATTAATGTGATCTGCTGTAAAGTGATTGATGACAGCAGGTTTTGTGATAGAAAGTCTGACAGTAGATGGTGCACAGCGTTCTGTTTTTTGAACTTTTTGTTGTCATTTTGTGTCCAGAAAGAACGGAAGCTACTGCAGGTCAAACGTTTGGATTTGGATGCGGCCAAAACCAGGGTAAAGAAAGCCAGGATGGCTGATAAAAATGCAGTAAGTATGAACACACACACACACACACATCATCATGAATGCAATACTGTCATTTTTTGCATCTATTTAAATGATATATTGCTGATTAATAAACAGCTTTTTCTAAAATCATTAGCCAGTTTCCTTTCAGAGCAAGAAAAGCTGTCTGGGTGTATCCTACAGTCCCTCTGTGACTAAATTACACAACATGACGTTGACCGTTTTATCTCTTGTGACTTTCATACCATCACATGAGCAGCTATGGGAAGTTAAGACTAAGTTTGGACTTCCCTTTTTCTTTTGACATCTGGATTGATTGTCTCTTTTTCTTTGCGGTACCAGTACTCCACACTTAACATTTATTTGTAGTGAAATAAAAAAATTAATTAATAGGGGCACAGAAGAAAATGAAGAGGATCAGATGAATGCGTGTCTTTTTTTGAACATTTAACATACACTATTCATAAAATGTTAAATACAAACAGATTTTAAACTGAATTCTCGAAGCTCTTAGAACCACTTTATGTAAGTTGCTAAAATTATAAATAAGTGAAAATGAAAAGATCTGAAACCTGTAGGTTTGGAAACCGTTTTGAGTGGCAGCCTAATTAATGGTCACAGCCTGTATACTGCAACCTGAAAAATGAGATAAGATGGAACTTAATTCATCCTGAAAGAAATCTTTGTGCCACTCGGTACACTTAATTTACTGATATGAATTAAATTTTAACTGGGGGATTCTCAAATTGATGTGATCAGCTGTGCCATGTGGTGTGTCAAGCATTAGTGAAAGGTCCCAGTAGAGCATGATGTTTAAGATCAGTAGAATCATCAAAAATAGAGGCCTGAAAAAACATTAACTAATCAATAGTTTTGAATGTTCTACCTCAGACTTGTGAAGTGATTCACTGTTTGGCATCAAGTGTTTGTCACATTCTGACCATAAAGAAACGTTTAACCACATAATTAACCATCTGGTTTCTTCAGTTTTCACTCAGGAGCAAAAATCTGCCTTTGAAAGAAATTATTTGACTTTTTCTCGTGATAATCATCGATTTTGAATGAATGATAACATTTTTGGCCATATCGCCCAGCCCTAGTTCAGTGACTGAGGCTTTTGTAGTGTTGGAACATCCCGAAGTAAGTTTTCATTTCCCTCAATCCTACATCTCATCCTAACTAGCGTTTAAAGGGTCTTAACAGACTGACTGTTAAAAGTTGCACATAATCTGTCATAACTCTCTCAGACAGAGGCCGTCTTCCTGTTAACACTGTCTGAAGATGATATCTCTAATGACCGCAGTACCAAGCAAAGACTTGGCAAAAACCTTTGGGAAAAACACACCAGAGCTAAGCATTCTCTCTGGCTCGTCAACATGCTCATTTAATTTAGCTTTTGTTAATAGCAGGGTTGTCTAGTGGTTATTGCTTTCTTAATAGTGCGTTTTTAATCTACACACACAAACATGTGTCCTGTCAACACTATCTGAGTAGAGCTGCACCCACTTTAAAGAGTGAAAATAATCTGCTGGTTAACACCAGTTCTCCCTTTTTAATCTTTGTTCCACGGGTGGTACTCTCTCACACGACGACAAAGCGTCTGAGGTGGTTTGGTCGTGTGAAAGGGATGAGAAGTATTTATGTGTTACATTGTCACAGTCATGCAGAGTGTGGTTTTATTAAAGCATGCCGCTGCCTCGTTTTCTCTCTCTCTCTCACACACTCTCACACACACACAGAGTGTAAGGATGTGTTGTGTTGGCTGTGGCCGTGCAGCAGCTGTAGCTCTAACTACTGTGTCACTGTTTTCAAAACGCAAAGCAGCAGATGTGAGCAGAGGAAGTGACAGAGGTGAGTGGAATGTTGGAGCCATCTTTGAATTGAACACACATACACACCAAACCCCCTGGTAGCAGTGTCAACAGCTGCTGCTCCCTTTCTCTATCTCCTCCATGACACATACTGTCGTGCCTCCATGGAAAATGCTGGATCCTTGTAGACAAGTCCCATAAGAATAAAACACTAAGTGCTCTCCCTTCCTCCACACCTCTCTCTGGGACTCTAATGTAAGCTGTAGGGACTGCAGGACAGTAAGGCCATTGTCCCTGTCAGTCTCAGCTCCAGACCATATGTTTATTGGGCTATTTAGCAAGTCTCAACAAGCCATTGTTCCACAAGTCTCATATTGAGTCCTTTGGCTCAATATGAGGAAAAGGAAACATTTCCCTCAGTACACAAACCTCATGTTCAGATGTTTGGATGTTCTGTTCTTTTCCCTGTCTTTCTTTTCCTTTCCTTTTTTTGTGTTGCCTCTGACTTCCCTGGTTTTGACACATTGAAGCCTAATCATGTTCTATGCAGGGTTTTTCCTGCATAGAGAATTACGGGGCAAATATGGTCCCACCTCCTGCTCGTGACAAAACTCAACAAGTGTTTTCATCGTAAACACTATTTTCTAGCAAGCGTTACTTAGAAAAGCAAATTTTGTGAAAGTGTGAGAGGGTATTACTTAAAATACAATTCTTTTTTTTAAAATACATTTATAAATGTTTCAAAAACAGGAGATCTACTTTTGTCTAAATAATAATTAGCCAGCAGAATCAAAAAGCTTTAAGATATTGAGTATATTAGTATTTGATGTTCTCAGTCTCAAGCAGAGCTTTAACCGTGTCATGATGTGATGTGCTTCAGGAAGAACAAATATTACTGGGACCACTAGAGAAACTTAAACATTTAATATCCAGGAATTCACATCAACTGAACTATAAATGAAAACATGCATGATGTTTGATTTGATTTTAAATAACCTGCCATTAGTTAAGTGTGTAAATGAACAGGTTCGCTTTTATGTTTGTATTTGATTTTATTGTTGAGCTTCTTTCTTTTTTTTTTTTAAATATGCATTAACTTATTGTCATTTTCTTCAATCACATAATTATTATAACGCTTAACATACGTTGCTTGTAAAAAGTATTTGCTTGAGCCAATTGAAGGCACGTGATCAGGATGGCACCACTTCCGCCTCATAGTGAGCCAGGAAAAACCCTGATGTGCACACATACAGACTAGGTTCATGTGTTAGTTTTTAGGCTAACTGGTGGTAAATGATGATATTCAGTTTAAATTAATTTGATTATTTCTATGCCAAAGAGCTTTTTTTCCCCAGATAATAAAGGAGCTTTAGGCCATAGGACACAAACACATGATATTGCATGTCAGAGGTGGCAGCGCCTGCTGGCCTCATTTTCAAAAAGGGGAACATATCAGCATACCAATTTGTTTGTCTGAGACATGTTCAATTCCCTCTTATTTTTAAACCATATGCGTGTCCTTTGGTGTGGAAATCACTGAATACAGGCATGTATCGTAAAAGAAATTGGACTTTGATCATCATAATTTCAGTGTGTACATTGATATTATTCTATAAAGATCTAGTTTTGTTTCTTCCTTAGGCAGAGCAGGAGATGAGAATGACCCAGAGTGAGTTTGACCGGCAGGCGGAGATCACCCGACTGCTGCTAGAAGGTGTCAGCAGCACCCACGTAAGTAGCGCAGCCCAGATTCCGCTTTGACTGGCATTGAGTCATTAAATAAAGTAATAAAATAAAGTAACAGTAAGGGATGTTATTGTAGTTCTGCTGGTTTTGGCAGCAAAAGGCGACTTCTATTATTAAGTATTGCACTTCCTTAAAGTGCAAGAAGTGTGCAGCAGAGACCAAGATATCCGGATTTAAAACCCATAGTTATGGTTCAACCTCTAAAAACGCTGGATTCTACTCTTCCCATAATGCAACTCGGTAGCATTGTTAAGGCTGTCCCTGCCTGGTTAATATGAAAGTGCATCTCAAACAAATTTGAATATTGTGGAAAAGTTCATCTTCATGGTGACTCTTTAATATATGCTAGATTCATTACAGATAACGTGAATATATTTCAGGCCATCTTGATATTTACAGCTCTTGAAAATCAAAACTGAAGTGTATTTAAATTTTAGAATAAAGAATTATAATACAGAAATGTTTACATGAGAAGAGCTCTAATCAGTTAATTAACTCAAAACACCTCCAAAGGTTTCCTGAGCCTTTAATCTCTGTCTTGTTCTGGTGCTCACAATGAACTTTTCCATAATTTGTTTTTGGGATGCACCTGTACATGTCTTTCAGACTCCATGCCTCCAGTTTGTAATGCAGGCATTGTACAATTGTTTTCACAGCCTGAATAGTGCTCCTGTGTGTAAAATGGGTAGATCTGTCATTTCAGATGAAAGGTTTAGTATGGAAAGATGTCTTATGTCTTGCAAATGTAACCTTTAAAATATACCAGATAGGTAAGCTGAGTGACCTGTTCAGTTCTCCTTTAGTAAAACATGAGCTTAACATGTGAACCGTTTGACAGAAACCAGTGAAACTTTCAGTATAATTCTCTCACATCTCTCCTTGTGCACCCCCAGGCACACCAGCTACGCTGCCTGAATGACTTTGTGGAGGCCCAGACTACGTACTACGCACAGTGTTACCAGTATATGGTGGATCTCCAGAAGCAGCTGGGCAGGTAAAATACCACCGGGACCACCCACCCATTCTTCCTGTCACCCAATAGCTCCATACAACTATGGGCTGTAACTCTGGTGTCACACTGCATTAGCTGACAGTTAAATGTCAATGGACTAGCAGGAAGACCCTCATCTCAGTGTTTTAGGTTATTGCTCAAATTAATATACTCGTTACTGCAGGGAGCAGTAAGTCGTTCAAGTCCTTCAGTTATTTTTCCTCTCCTTCTGAAATGAGTAAATAACGGTCCTGTCTTACTTTTTAAGTTCATCTATGGTTGCATAGTTTTCACCTTTCAGATGAAACAGGAAAATGAGTAATACTGATGAAAATTAGTCAGGCATGAGGTCACAGAGAGCTGTATCTGATACTCACAGGAGAAGAGAACACAAAAATTAACTGCGCTCATTAAGCTCACCTTCCTCCCACCAGTTTCCCCTCGTCATTCTCCAACAACAACCAGTCCTCAGCGTCGGGCACTGCCAGCATCTCTGTGCCCACCATCTCGGTGTCGGCCTCCCTGCCCAGCGTGTCTGCAGGCCACGGCAGCTCCACAGCATCGGGCGGATTCAACGAATTGCGCAGCTCCAACGGCAGCCGCAAAGCCCGAGTGCTTTACGACTATGATGCTGCCAGCAGCAGCGAGCTTTCCCTGCTGGCTGATGAGGTATGCCACAAAAATAGGTCCATTCTATCTTATGATTGAGGAGCAAAACTACCAATAGGGTGGAAAACAGACAGCATTTAAGGATGAATAAGGTTTTCAGTTATGTTTTTACCGCAATTATTTAAACCTTTTTCCGTATGGCTCAACAGTAGTCTCTATCTCGCCTTATATTCTAGTTTATTTAGTTTCTTTTAATATAAGAATCAACAGTTTAACTTAGGAAATTGGGGAGGCTAGTCTTAACCCAAACTTGTGTTAACCACATCATGCCCTACAGCGGCAGTGGAACTACTCTGTTCAGGGGAATAGTCACTCCCTTTCCTGGCAAAGCACTGATCTGTCCATTACAGTCCTGGTGGCTGACTAACAGTGAACCAGCATTACCTCATTTGGTCTAATAACCGCATTCAGAAAAATGTTTCCAGTCTGCTAACTGTGTGGCCTGACCTGGCTTTCATAATAAAAACCTTTATAACCAAGCATCCCATAAATCTGGTGTCTTTCACAAGCAGGTAACACTGTATGAAACTGATGTATGCTACATAAAAAGTAAAGTTATTCTTGATCACTTAATACCATATACAACTAACAGTGTATCCGTCATCTCTCCCTCTTTGCAGGTCATCACAGTCAGCAGTGTGCCAGGCATGGATTCAGACTGGCTGATGGGTGAGCGAGGCACCCAGAAGGGCAAAGTGCCAATCACTTACCTTGAGCTGCTTAACTGAGACCTACACCTCCAACGCCCCACCCCTCTGTAACCAGCTGTGATCTCATATTTATATTGTGTTGCAGGGACGGGCATCACTTTCTCTTCCATTCAGTCATTTTAGAATGAGTTGTTATTTCTATGAAATGGGAGTCTCAGTATGAGCAGACTCGAGCTGGAATGAATAAATTTGAGTGAAGGGGGGGAAGGAAGGAAGGAAGGAAATGGACCCCATTCCCTGATGTGTTTTGTATTCAACTGCAGTACATTTCTAAAACCTGCTTTCACGCCTTTTGTGTTTGACGCCATGCAATCTGCAATATATGCCAGAACATCTCCCAAATTTTGTTTACAACATATATCTGAAATGGTGACCTAAATGCTTTTGATGTGAGGATTTTTTTTTTCTCCACCCTCACTGCTAATTGAAGTTTCTTGCCTTTTTAAAGTAGTAATACAATAGTCTCATTTTTTAAAATGCAAAAATGCACTTCAGGTTGAGGTGGAGAGAGATGCTGATTATTAAGTTTTATTTTATAATTGATAATCTTGGTGCAGTAGCTGTAATGGTTATTCTCAATATGATTTTTTTTTTTAACAGTATCATATGTATTGTACCTCAGCTTTATTCACATGGAGTCTTACAGGACTTTGAGTTAAACACATTGTCCCAGTAAATTTGATTAATGAGCGAGGCGGAAGAAGAGAACTTGTAACCTGCTGATAGCCAAGCAGCTATAATACTCACATGCCAGACATCATCGAGTGCCTATTACAGTGAACAACCCTTTTTAAGAACCATTTGCCTTTTTTGCATCTACACCAGCGCAGTGTTCAGCCTCTCCTCTTAGTATTCAACCCTAATATATCTATTTAAGTTATTGGCAATGTTTGATATCAACCAGAAGACAGATCTCATCTCTGATTAAATTATACATGTGTGTATTGTTCATAAATACACAATTTGTGATATGTTTATTGTATCTGGATTTGGTTGACTTTAGAAAAACTTTACTTAATAGTAAGACATTTACATTTTTCACCTAAAAATTAAATACATTTGCTTTTATTGACATTACCAATATATCTAATCAGTTTCCCCTAAACCTGCAGTTCAACTCCAAATTGAAAAGTCTTGTTACATTCTGGGAGATTAAAGTATATTATTACATGGCTGCTTTTTTGTTTTGTGTGTAACTGATAAGATAGCATACAATTGTAAAATAAATATACAATATGATGCATTTAAAATAAAATATCACTTGTCTGTTTTGAGGTTTCATTTTTATTTATGTCGCATTTTCAGTAGTTAAGAATCAAAATGTGACTTTCACAGTTGGCTTTGTTGTAGCTTTTTTCTTTGTGATCCCTGGTGGAACCACTAGAGGGCAGGACAGGCAACGTGATCAATCTGTCAGTGTGTGGTTAAATGGAAGAAATGTTTTGACCATCTAGTCTCTGTAATTTGGCAGAGTCATATAAAGTTGAGACACAACACTGAGTTAGAGAAATGTGACCAGGCTGAGGAAAGTTGATGTATGTAATGCATGAAGGCATTTGAAACCCAGCTAAATTTTGTGCTAAATGTAAAATAGAGAAGGGACGTCACATTAACACATGGTGTACAATCAAAAATCAACAAAAAAAAATAGTAAATGCAACATTTCCAGAAAGAAATCAGCTTTAGCAATCTTATAGATCCTGACTGATGTAAAGCACTTCCATTTCAAACCTTCCTAAATGTACTGTAGATCTACAAAAACAAAGTTATTTTAAAACAACTTTTTTATTATTTTAACACAGATGAAGTGTTGCTACACTAGCGGTGTGAAACAATTACTGGGAACTAACAAGACTGGGAAGGGCAGGTCACATGAGTAAAGAAACACAGACGCTTAATCATGGCCACCCTAGGCCTAATTATTTTGACACAAATGACACCTCTTAATGAAAGTTTTTTGTCTGAGCCACAGTTTTCTGGGCTGTTTTGGTCAAATTAAATCTTGTTTACACTTTTGCTCTCAGACTTTGCTGCTTATGGATGCATTATTTGTCTTTTTCGTACAGTTTTTTATGTACGGTAGTGGATGGCGAGAGACAACTTATTTTTTGATCCTGTTTGAACTGTGCCCTGAATTACAATTTAAAAGATCAATTTGCCAGTCAACTAAGTTGCAGTTTGTTGTAAATCAGTAAAGTTACATGTCGTTTTGTGTGAAAACTGTTCAAAAGACTACATCTCTTCTCTCGCACAATATACATCACAAAACATGTTAACGCGGTAATGCTAGCTAACATTCATTGCTTGGTTGCTGCTAGCTAGATAACTTAGCTATGTTCCACGCAGAAATATTTCTCACCTGATGTGTTTAATCCAACACTCTCAGTTCTTTTATCACATCATCTACACATGTAAGATCTTTGACATTAGTTTCAGTAATGTTAGCTTCAGTGGTTGAGAGAAAAAGTTAAGTCACATATGCGTCTTTTGGGTTTGTGGTAATTTGTACTTTGTAATTATGTATTTTCAGTCTTATACCTCAATAGTTCAAAACTGCGACTTTTTTGACTTTTAAATGTATATTTGAAATTGACCATCATCATCTGTGTAATTCAGAGCACAATTCAAACGTGATAAAAAGATTTGTTGTCTCTTGCCACTGACTACCGTACATATTTTTTCCGAAGAAAGGTTCCATGGTGGTCCAGCGGAAGGGGAGGGACAGATTTGTCTTTTTCCACCTAAGACCATCCATCCATCCATCCATCATCCACCGCTTATCCTGCGTACAGGGAAGCGGTTGTAACTTATTTTATTTATTTAATTTTAAAGCAATTCTTGAAATATATTCTTACTGTTGACACATTCAAAGAGAGGTCTGCCCTGGTTTTATTTTGGGCTCTCTCCTGACCTACTCCCCAGAGGCTTCCACAACTCCCAGTGCTAGCAGCTGTGGACCAGAAACATACAAATCCCCGGAAAAAACTCAAAACACTGACCCAGTTTGATAGAATTTCTTAATTTAAAGAAACTTTAAAGGGTAAGTATGTACTGTGCCTGTACTGGGTAGTCTGTTCAGTAATATTGGCCTTGCTTGACTTTTTGTGCTCACATTCATGTGATTGGAAGCAGTCTTGAGGCAACCACACAATTAACAACCAACATTGAGCGCTTCAGTGCAGAGCGTCTCGTCCTTGCCTGTCATAAGAGCAGGAAGGGTTAAGAGGAAGTGGAGTTTTGCAAACTGCTTACTGACTTCCTAAGAGGCTGCCTGTACGTCAGCTTACATGGGACAATCATTTTCCAGGACACGGCGATCAACGCAACTTCAGAAACCACTAACCACTAACCTTTGACCTGTGTCACTATCAATCAAAAGAGCCTTTTTAGTGTTTTTTAATACAAATGGACACCAAACATTTCACCACAGAGCTGACTCAGAAATGTAATATTTGAGGCTAACATTGGTCCTCATAAAACCACAGCTGTGAGAATAACTTTTCAGTTCAGTATTCTGAAACCTGACACTTTTTCTTGTCTTTCACATCTTTATCTCTCTAAAAATAAACCCACTCAGTTAGATAAAGTCAGTTTTAACGCACACATCAGACCAGCTATAGCAGGCCTGAGAAAAACACTTCCTCTTTCATCAGTCCTTATTAACAGAAAATACTTGACATCTGCTTTTTTAGGCCTCCTTAAAGGGCAAATGTTGTTGTTTTTTTGAGGGGCGGTGACATATTTGTTTTTTTTTTCAGATGTCATTAGGCGAGTCAGAGCAGGAAAAAAAATGTGAAAAAGTGAAGCGAATAGATAACCTGAAATTAAGGACTGCTGCTTATCTGATATGTTTGCTGAAGAGGCTGGTTCACAGATGTACAAGGTAACGGGTAACCACTATAGAAAGCCTGTCCCTCCCCTTCCGCTGGACCACCATGGAACCTTTCTTCGGAAAAAATATGTACGGTAGTCAGTGGCAAGAGACAACAAATCTTTTTATCACATTTGAATTGTGCTCTGAATTACACAGATGATGATGGTCAATTTCAAATATACATTTAAAAGTCAAAAAAGTCGCAGTTTTGAACTATTGAGGTATAAGACTGAAAATACATAATTACAAAGTACAAATTACCACAAACCCAAAAGACGCATATGTGACTTAACTTTTTCTCTCAACCACTGAAGCTAACATTACTGAAACTAATGTCAAAGATCTTACATGTGTAGATGATGTGATAAAAGAACTGAGAGTGTTGGATTAAACACATCAGGTGAGAAATATTTCTGCGTGGAACATAGCTAAGTTATCTAGCTAGCAGCAACCAAGCAATGAATGTTAGCTAGCATTACCGCGTTAACATGTTTTGTGATGTATATTGTGCGAGAGAAGAGATGTAGTCTTTTGAACAGTTTTCACACAAAACGACATGTAACTTTACTGATTTACAACAAACTGCAACTTAGTTGACTGGCAAATTGATCTTTTAAATTGTAATTCAGGGCACAGTTCAAACAGGATCAAAAAATAAGTTGTCTCTCGCCATCCACTACCGTACATATTTTTTCCGAAATAAGGTCCCATGGGCCGGAAGCAGAGGCGAGTGACTTGGGCTCTCTATTGTATTGCTGTTTGTCAAAGACATTTTGTTACTTCTACGAAGGCTGTGTATATTTTTTAGCCATGCTAGCAGCTAGGCTCTACCGATATCAATGCCGGTTGGACGGTTGGTCATGGCCAAATACTTGCAATACTAATGAAGATTCCATCAGCTTCAGCTGTAATTTGTGTGTAGTGATTATTAAATCATAAAAAAACACATTATACTTGCTTGACATCAACATGTGGACATTAGCATTTTCCTTAAAATGCACCAATGCGCAGAAGTACAACCTCACAAAATTGTTAACATGGTTGTAGACTTATGCATAGGCAACATACTTCACTTCTTTTTTTGCAGACTACTCTGAAGCAGGCAAACCAAGTAGCTGTTCCACAGAATTATAATATATAATATGTTATAACATATATTATATGTATTTATAATCAACACTAGAACTAGTTGTCTTGGCAGCCCTGTCAGTGCAATCAGGGACACATCTATACATAGTAGGCCTACACATGCGTACCTTGACCCCTCTGGTATAATATATCCAGATGCTGTAACCAGACTGTATATAGATCTAGCATAGATGCTCAGGACCACAGGACACCACCTGCTATCAGAATACATTTTTAATATGAATACAGTGAATACATTAATCTCATTTGACCACTTCCGGTCAAACTTCACTTCTCCCCTCTCATTTGCATTTATCTGTGAGAAACTGTGACCACTACTTGAAAGAGAGAAAAAAAACTGCTTCATTCAACCACAGTGCTTGTAGAGTATTGTGGTGAATATTTGGTAACTCAAGGACGGGCCCCATAACCACAGGTTGGCTGCTTTGCAAACACAAATCAGCTGCATTGATGAGTGTTTTGCAAGTTTCTTGTGCTATATGTACACTACAAACTTGACTGCTATAGTTCATATGTGGTCACTTGTATACCTAACCACCATTAAATATGGCTTGTGCAATCAGATCTAGTACATATATACACACCATGTTAACTTAGAGGGCATTCACACAACATTGCAGCCAAACCCTCGTAACTGTGCCGCTAACCAACTTCATACAGTTGTCTTTTAACTTCTCACCAATTACAGCTGATTGGAATTTTCCTTCCTCAAATGATGATTTCTTCTGTTTCGTCCACTTCTTCCTTCCATCAAGCTACCCATCTTTATTTTATGTATTTATGTCACTCGATATTATCTGATAGAAACTGAAAACCTACATTTGCACATCAAAACATAATATCTGCTGGTATGTTTACCTCAAAGTAGACCTTAGCTGGTTTTCAATGGCAAGATGAGTCATTGTTCACTCTACTTATTAATAACTTAAGTGTGGTTAAAGATTTTCGAACCAGAAACCTTAAGTGACGAGCCTATTTCTGTATCTCTGGTCAACGGCTGCCCTGACTGCATTTCTTTATTTCACTTTTTTGACCCCATTTGCATGCTTAGAACCAATCCCACCTGCAATTCAAGCAACAAAAGCATTTGACTCTGACTGCCGACTTCATGGTGTAAAAGATATGTAAAAACGAAGGTGTTTAGAGGCTTTGACAAGGCATCACTTCGGTTTCTGTTTTTATGTTCCAACCACCATGACCTTGAGTATCACCACAGCGGTATTTTGGTTACTTTCTGGTTAGGCCTCCAATACTCTGCACAGCTACACACTGATCTACCAGCATTCTCACTTGTGAGCAACTGCTAACATACACAGAAAGATAGAGAAATGCATTCATTCCCCTCTGTGCTATACAATGCTTATAATGTCCCTTGTTTGATAATGTAATGTTTATGATGTCTGAACACATTTTATTAATGGCATGTCACTGCATTGCCTCCAAGTGCATCAGAATAGATATAGTATCAATATATGGGTCCAAACCAACTCCTCATGACTACTGACACACTGGAAGTTCATGTTAATGTTGCATCTGGGTGCCACAGTTGGGAAGGAAATCTCAAACCCCTCCTCTTTGAGATACAGAACTGGGCAGTTGCTGCACATCTTAGCAAAACAGGAAATTTCATGTTTCCTCTGCTGCTTATAGCAACAGCTTGCATCACACTACTTCTGCATATGTTCAAACACACACACATACACCCACACACACACACACACACACACACACATACTCTGGCCCACAAGAACGCAGCCACAGTTTTACATCAGGGTACCAGGATTAGGGTCTGATTTTGAACCGCACTTCAACAGCACAGCAATGTGAAAATTTTAATACCCTCTCCTGTTTAAATAATCATAGAATTCTTCCTTTTATTATTGTAAACACATTGAATTTATTTCCAATATATATTTAGCACTGTACATTTTTAGGGTTATAAAGTATCAGTAAGTTGTAGGCTTCAAATACTTCTTTTTGATTGATTTTTTTAGTATTTTGGGCTTGAAGGTGAGCAGAACAATAACTGAAATGCCCAGAAAAGAAAAAGGTACAATAAGCAGAATGTACCAGAATACAGATTCCGCACTTTCCTCCAAACACAAAAATGACTGGAAGTGCTCCACCCTGTGTGTCGTTTGGAAGAGATCCTTACATTCAATATCCGATTGTCCGACCATATTGATTGTCTTTGTTGTTTCAAATGTCCTGAACCATTCTGTTTGGCAGCAGTTGAACGGATTTCCTGTGAGGAAAACAGTGTGCAGTTTCGGGGCTAATGTTTTAGCATGACCTGAGGGTATATTTGACAGTCTATTGTCCCTCACATCGAGCACTTTTAGGTGAAGGTTCAGAAGTGAAGGGGGAAGATGGTCGAGAGAATTCCTTGAAATGTTTAAAGACTTTAGACTTTGGAAATGGGAGAAGTCGAAGTCTTGTATGTGAGTGTTTCCTAAACCTAGATGCTGTAACGTTCTGCTAAGACTTTGTATTGATTCTTGGGCAATGAGTCCTGGGTTGTCGGACAGTTCCAAGTGTGTTAGAGGCAGCCCAGCGAACGCAGATGACGGAACTCTTTCAAGGTTGCATCCCTTAAGGTAAAGCTGCCTTAGGGATATAACATTTTTCCAATCCACACAAAATGAGATATTGTTTGTACTGGTCTCAGCTTTATCAGGAGGGCAAATGTCAATGTTGTTATAACTGAGATCCACTGACCTCAGGCTTGGCAAAGAGGAAAATAATCCTGAGGGTAACCACTCAAGATCATTCAGGCTCAGGTTAAGGTACGTCAAATTGTCAAAAGTAGTCAGCGTATTTTCATCTGCTACAATCTGGTTCAGCCTGTTGTTGCTGAAGTCCAACTCGTACAAGCTACCAGAGAACTGTTCTGACGTTAGATTTAAGGTTTCTAGACAGTTTGTGCACATTCGAAGTCTGGACAGGGCAGGCATTTTGTGAATAAATCCTCGTGGGAAATACTCCACCTGGTTTCCTCTTAGATCCAAAATCTCTAGAGAGGAGATGTCACCATGAAGGCTCTCGTCCCACAGCTTTGCCGTCACGTTGCTCATGTATGTCTTCAGATTGTAGAACTCCACCGTTGTAGTCAAGTTCAGGAATGTGGTGTTGTCTGTCAAGTGTTCATAAAACCTAATGCTGTTGTGAGATAGGTAAAGATTCCGCAAGTGGCTCTGGTTGGGCAAGAAAGGAAAGAAGAGCAGTTTGTTATCTGATAGGTCAAGTGTCTCCAGCTGGAAAGTGTCGTTAAGGTCTTGTGTGGAGATGAACCACTCGATGAAGTTGTGGCTGGCGTTGAGGACCACCAGCTGGGTCATGTGGAAGTCAATCAGGCAAGGCAGATAATTGAAGGCCAAGTTGAGCCGCTTGAGCTTGGGATTGCTGTCGAAGGCGCCATCAATCTCGAACATGATGTTTCTCTGTAGGTCTAGTTCTTTCAGTTTGTGAAGATCCCTGAAAGAAGTCTCATCCAGTCTCTGCAGGAGGTTTCCAGAAAGATTAAGATACTCAAGGGATGTCAGATTTTGGAGAAGAGTGGCCGCCATTTCATCATCAAGCTTATTCTCAGAGAGATCCAGAGCTCTGAGCCTGGGCAGAGTCTTTAATGCGCGGCTGCTTTCTTGATACCCAATATGAAGATTGTTATTTGCTAAATTGAGGCTGTCTAAGAATTTTGAGTCTTGAAAAGTATTTGATTCTAATTTCTCCAAACTATTACAAGCTAAACTCAGGGTTTTTATTGAGGGATAAAGGAGAGGTGAATGTAGTGTATGAATGTGATTGTAGTTGAGCTGAAGCTCCTCTATGTTGTCTGGCAGTTCTTTAGGCACGAAGGAGAGCTTGCCATTGTTGCAGAGAGCCGTTCTTTGTATCTGCAGAAAAAAGGAGAGTGCATAACTTTAAGTTTGTGTTAGTGTACCGTACTGTATGTCTCTTTGTGGGTTTCAAAGAAATCCTACAGAAACAGGATTTCTTTCAGGCACCGCAACTGAACGTGTGAAGACCTCTTTCAAAGCGCCATATCTGCATTAGCCTTTAGCCCACATGCACAATTTTCTACACCAGGGCCCTTTTATCCCTGTAAAAGCATGTTAATCTTGTCAGCTGGTTATTTTGTGAGGTACAGGACCAAAAATCACAAGGCTGAACTGACTCTTTAGTAGGTTTATATCAGTCAGCTTCCTTTTGTGAAAGAGTGTTTAATCATGTGATATCACTGTATCTAGCATCTGAAATCGAACACAGTCTTTATTTATATTTTTAGTTTTTAACTGGCTAGCGGCATGGCTCTAGGGATGGTAATGTCAGTCTGTCGTACAGTTTGTCCACCACTTTGGTCCGGAATGAAATATCTCAACAGCTGTTGGATGGATTGGCAGGAAATTTGCTAGCAAATGTTAGCATGCTAACATTCTAAACTAGATGGTGAACCTAAATATTAGCAGCTAAAGATTAGCATATTAGCATTGTCACAGTGAGCATTATAGCATGCTGATGTTAACATTTAGCTCAAAGAACCGCTGTGCCTAACTAGCCTCTTGGAGCTGCTAGCATGGCTATAGACTCTTGGTTTTGTTGCCCTCATGATCCTTGACTCAGAGCTTACAATTTATCAAATAATTTCAATAAACACATTTTTTCTCCTAGCTGCCAGTTTTCAGTTGCACTTGGTGAAGAATTGACTGGTTTTGGATAGTTTTAGTGTGTAAATGACTTTCTAATTATAACGTTTAATACTGTGTATTACCAACTATGATGGATTACTTAATCAGTGAATCACTTCCCAGTTTGCCTCACTGATGAGGCAAACTGGGAAAAATCAGAGCACACAAATGTAATTTTCCGCCATGTCAACAGTTTTATTCTTAGCTACTATATCATGTTTACAGAACATCTGATATGCACAAATTGGCATTGAGATCATAAAAAAAGCCAATCTTTTATCAAAATTGTGTATCAGACACAACTGTAGGTACTTTTCTTCCTAAAAGTAGATACATGTTCACCAAACCAAGCATTCATTAAAACACACATAGCCTACAAATTATTCTCCCTTTTACATCAGATGAACTGTACTTCCACCTATGTTCCCGAGACACTCAGTTCACTTCAAAATGTGCTTTTATTAAGTAGAGCCATATAAAAGAGAGACATCTTACCAGCTGGCATCGGCTGTGTTGTGGATGACTTGAGACTGGCGTCAGTATTCTCCACATGGGTAACAAGCATAGCAGGAGGGGAGTGAGCCTGTGGACTGGCATTTTAACATCCTCACTGTTGACAAGGTGATAGAAGGAGAGAGTGATGATGAAATGCCGTGCCGCTGATTGATCAACACAGGCATGTGCTGCCCTTCAATTTTAACCATAGTTGGCATGATTTGCATGTGATACTTGACTGGTATCATGACATTTTAGCAAATGAGTGTCATGTCTTAAAATGCAAATTATGGTTGCTAGACATTGGCAGCTTGACATTAAATGCTTGCAGATACATTAACACTCAACTCTGATAGCTTGGGTTCAATTACCTACTACTGTTAAAAACATTCATACTTTGAGTTAATATTTTCACTGAATATATCATCTTAACTATTTTACACACTGCGTGCTAACCTTAAATATCAGTTATAAACATGACTTGACAAACATGTAATAATGTCTTATGTCTAATGTCAGTGTGTCTTTTTTTGTCTTTATGTCATGGTGGACGAATGTAATCCTCACACTATTCATGTCCACAAAATTACAATACAATAAATGTTGTGCAATCGCATCGCAGCCTGATGTAAATGAGTGAATATCATCTTTAAAATATCATATTTTATCCTGAGAACTGCAGTTGTGAATTTTGGTAAAATTTCCATAATATCAATTCAAACCATTTTGTGACACATATTTTAGTGGCCTTAGGAAACATGTTGTATTCAGGGGTGTAAATAATACACCACAAAGTAATTTTTTTCTATGAACATTTTTCTCTCTTGTTTTACTGGTTATTGTACAACACTGCTAATAACACTACTCAATTTCTAAACTATATTATGTGTTGTGGGGAAGAGTTGGCCACAGAAGAAAAGACAGTTAGCAGAATATAGCTTTCTGAGCATTGCTGGATGTGACACAGCCAAGTTATGAGAAAGCCGTTGACCGACGAATGAGAAAATGTTTAATATTGACCACTATAAAACCAATATAAAACACTTTCATATTGCATATTAATTGTACAAATGTACAGCACTTGGTTCCATTAATCAGAATAATGATAAAATATGTGATATTTTGTAAACTTAAACTAAAAGCCATTTGGTTTTTCAAACTTTAGATTTTTAATAGTGGACAATCTGTAACTCAAGGGACATTGTTGACATGCAATACCTAACACTTGGTAACATTAATGATTGATTCATTATGCAACATTTGTTTCAATAACAAGCAAAACTAAATGCTATAAAAATGTTCTGAAAACTATAGTTTTATGCTGACATTTGTTTTAACAAGAATTTTAATGACACCTTATACTGGATTTACAGTCTTCTGCCAGTGCAGGTGATCAATAAGATATCTTGCTCAAAAACACCAAAGACAAAATATATTTAAATTCAACATTTTTATTTTAGACAAAGTATGCAGTTTGCTTCATTTAGCAGCCAGAGTATCTGTGCAAACTGCAGCTCTACATTAGTGCACAGAGCATTTACTTACACTGGTGGTTAGGTGTGGATTTCCCAAGCCACTGACGGTTGATCCTCTGACCATATCGCTGGTTGACTCGCTGTTGCAGAGTGTCTTCTCATGTGCGAGGTTCAGCTGCTTTTCTCTGCTCTGAGTGAAGCACCAATGCCTCTTTTAACTATTCACGGAAGCATGCAGGCAACGGAAACCAAGTCACATGGACAAGACAAGCTGCAATCAGAAAGAGGTTCTCAAGCCTAGGGCCACAGGAAGGCGAGTGCAGGCTCAACAGTTCTCAACCAACACAGCGCTGTTTTTTTTTTCTACACCCCTCCTCCTCACAAACACCACGACAGTAATGTTGTTATACAGGCAACTAAGATTGGTAGCAGAACTGCTACCGCAAAAACCCAACAAGAACACACCCTTTACACCCTCGGCTCGTTCTGATCAGCCAACCTACTAGAGAGGAAACCACTCAGCACACACACCCTTCCTGCCTGATTTTCGGCCTGTCACTGCAACAGCCATTTCAAACACACATATGGTAAACACATATAGAGACACTAACGTCTGTGAATATGAATTAATGTAGTGAACGGTCACAATGCTTTTGGGCCAGATAACACATAACATCAGTCAGGGAGTCAAGAAGATGATTAATGGGTAGCATGCACACCATATCACTGCAGCATGCTCTAAATGAGTAATGAAGAAGTACTATAAAGTTTTACTTTCAATACTAATACATTTGCAACATGGCTTCTTTAAGTATCCAAGTACCTTCCCTAAACAGTGTTTTCTCTTGCTTGATGTCCAGCCACTGAATGCACCAGCTCTCTTTCGTCTTTTGTTAAACTCTAGTTGTTAACTTGTTTCTCCTTAGTAGTCACCCGTGGATACAAGAATAGGGAATTAGGAATCAGGAAGTGATGGTGCCGTCCTTGGGGAGTTGACTTGTTAGTGATTCCTTCCTGTTTTCACACAGGACATCTCTAGCTCTCACTTCTGACTCTGTAGGTTTGGGTAACTGGATTTTCTAATCCATGACTCCACGTTGAGGTTGATTTACTCGGTTATGTGACACTCTTAACACTGCACAAGTAAAACTTATGAGAGAAAGCGTATCAACTGGTTATGCAAAGGAAAAAACTTTGAGAACAAGTCTTGCAAACATGAGGCTCACTGTGGGCCCGCTACAAACACTCTGTCCCCTTCACCCCGTGCAGTTTCCTTACTGGCCAGGAGTGGCAGCACGGCTCCAGAACAGTGGCAAATGTGAAAATGAAGAATGTTCCTGTCATTCTGGCAGGTTTAACATATCGACCATGAACCACAACATCCGTGGTGGTCAGGAACCTTTGCATGTCCTTCCCCATCTCTCTCTCTCTCCATACTTTATGACAACTGTCAACTGTCGCAATCAAATTTTTAAACATCTTAGAAGTAGAATTTCCTGTAATGTTTATGACGTCTAGTAGCTCTATGGAACGCTTGGTTTGTTCTTGTGCACATGCATGAGGATGCCCATTGTAGGAGAAAGTTTCAGTTCTGGTACGTACACTCTTTTGCTGCTTCTGCGACCTCGCTGTTATCTTCACCCTGCAACTACACCATCCTACTTTCACCCAGCAGAGATGGCGGAGTCACAGACCTCTCTCATACTTTGATGAATCAACAGATAAGACCCCTATTTGTCCAATTTTAAAATTGCACTATTAATCATTTCTGCAACAATTTGGCATCTGTTGTGGTGGCAGCACGGCTGATGGTGAGTGTCCTGGTTTTTTCTCCTTTTTATCAGTTTTTCAGCTTTTTTTCCTTGGTTTTCTGTTCCCTGCCTGCCTCCCTGTGTTTTCTCCCCTGTGTGCTCTCTCTCCCTCTGCTCCTGAGCCCAGCCAACTACCTGCACCTGCACCTCATCAGCCACCTCGTCAGCCTGCCACACCTGCCAGTAATCAACCTCATGCCTGCCTGTATTTCAACCCCGGTTCTCCACACCATCCTCGCTTGATCGTCGTTGCTCCATACCCGGTGCCACCCCCACCTTCAGGCTTTCATGTTTCTTGTTTTTTTCACATTTACCCTGTGCCTTGTCTTCCCTAACCTTGTCTCTCTGTCTGTTTCCCTCCCAGGTACACTCACCCTCGTCCTCCGTTCGGCTGGGCTCATCCACTGGCCCACTCCTCCTCGGACTTCCCTCACGGCGTCCTCCCTGTTCCCCCGCCTCTCCTCGCTTCCTCGGCCCCTGTGTTCCCCGGCTCCCTGGCCCCCTGTCTCCTTGGTTCCCCGTGCCTGTGCTTCCCCGACGTCCTCCTCTCCCTCCACTCCAGTCCCTCTCACCCTTTTTCCCTCAATAAACCTCCTTCCCTCAGAGTGCTGCATTTGGGTCCTCTCTGTCCCCACACCACACCTCGCAACAGCATCACTACACAAGTATTCTGGGTGATTAACCTTTAAGAATGCTTGCCTGACAGGTTTGCCTGACTGAAGTTTTTGTTATGAACAGTTATGAGTGAATTACCACTCAAAGTAATGTGACAATATGAGTAATAGGTTAAAGGCAAAATATATTTCTTATGTCTTGCCTTTAACATTTTGTTGCAGATATGGGTTTAGATTGTGTGACTTGATTAATCCACACAAAAGGTGGATGCTAGATCTTGATGGTACTAGAGAATTCCAAGAGCTGCTTGAAATCAAAAATATAGTCTGTTGCTCAAGAGCCAGTAGTCTGTTGGAGGCCACATTTTGGCCTTTGTTGTAGCTCAAAAACTGAGCTACCTTAAACCGGCTCATCTGCAGATTAATTCTATAAATGATATGTTATGATCCACTAAAGTTTGACCCAATACGTGATGTATAAATCCCTGTTTTTATTGTCTTCACGACCGTCTAGGCTGTAAGGGAGCCTGGAGTAACAATTGAGTGAGATTCAGAGAGAACAGATTCAAGTTCAACCTCATCAATCTCAGTTCATGACTACTGTCAGGCATTGAAAACGTAGGACATTTTAATTTCATGTTATTTGTCATTTCTCAAACACATTCATCATGTTGCAGTCCTGCCAGTGGTTTCACACTGTTCCACTGATTGGCCGGCAGTGATAACCAAGCCAAGAAATGCTGCAAAGCCCCAGCAAATGCAGGGAAGACTGCTAGAAAGTTGTCATGAGTGTATCCAAATGCCGGTTTCAAACTTTTAGGAAAAAACGGCTTTAAAAATGTTTTAAGGGAAAGGAAAAAAAAGGTTTGTTAGACCTCAAGGATACACACAATGTCAACAGAGCAGCACATGGCACCTTTAATGGATAAATGATAGAATTAAATAACTTTTTTGCAGGTGAGTAACTGTTTATTCCCCACCCTACACATCTGGTTGGTTTGGTGGCCTCACAGTGGAGACACGGTGCTTTAAAGTTTAGCTGAATTAGCGACCCTTTCTGCTGAGTTACACCGACGTAGCTTTGCGTGACTTAAGTAGCTCTATAAATGGGAGCATTCACTTCCAGTTGTAGCTCAGCGTGCAGTGTAAGACCACTTGTGTTGCTACTGTATTCTGAGCTGGCAGATGGAAAGCAGCACAATCACGCTGGAATGAGTGAATTCCGGGCTCTACTCTTTGTTTGTTTCAGGACTTGAGGGTATATTAATACATGGAACAGTATGAAAATGAGCTTTCCATTTTCGAGACCTGAGGAGTTGGGGTGTGAAGTCCCATGGGTGAAGGGGGATTTGGGCAGCTCATAGTCTAAACATACAAAAACACCAAAGCACTGAGGGCTTACACTATCGAACATGATAGATACTACAATATTGACTGTTCTCAGTCTTTCAGGTTAAGTAATTTATACATTTTCTCCTTCACCTGTTTTCTCAACAGAAAGCCTACAGTAGATACATGTCATTCCTCTCTTCACACATAATATCATCTGAACATACATAATGTGTTTTGTAATATATTGTTTGTTGTTGTTTTACTCTAATATTCACTCTGCAGGCTAATGAAAACAGATAAAAATATCAAAAAACTGCATGATATTATTTTTGTTAGGAAAAGCAAGGTGGATAACCTCAATCATCTTGAGATTTCATGCTGCACATTACCAGGACTGTCTGTGGTATACGGATATTTGCATAACATGCACAAGAAGAGTACCGCCCTCTTGTGGAAACAGGGTATGTACCATATTTTTATGAGACATGAACCTTGAGGTGCGTGAGAGTCAGCAATCAAGCCAGTCCTTTGGGTTCCTTGGAGATCTGGAAGTTATAATGGCCAACATCCACTTGTTTATAATTATATTCACACTTATCAATAACAACCTATACAATAGCACACATATATTGTTTATCATAGCATAAAGAAATGACACTGTCTGTAAATGTCCCTATCATCAGACAGGTCGTCAGTTAGATAATGTCCCAAATATTTAGCCTCATCACAGACTCTAAGGACAGTACTAGACAGAGAGAAGTCAGGGAATGTCAGTTTCCTGTCCTCTCTACTCCTAACAATCATAATATTACTCTTCTTTGCATTATACTTAATGTCAAAGTCTGAGCCATATTGAGAACAAACCCTCAGTAACTGTTGAAGACCAGCACTGTAAGGACAAAGAATCACCAAATCATCTGCGTACAGTGGTTGTGGTTGATGATCGTGTTACCAACCATACAACCTGTTCCACAGCTGTTTAACAGCTTTGATAAATCAACCATGTAGACATTAAAAAGACAAGGAGACAAAATACTTCCCTGTCTAACTCCATTGCATACACTGAATGGGGCCAACACAGAGTTGCCCCATTTCACATACATTGATTGATGAGCATACCAAAAAGCCAGATGTCTCACTAAAGATTTAGGAACTCCTCTGTTTTGTAACTTTAAAAATAGTTTTTCACGATTAACACAATCAAAGGCTTTAGAGGCATCAATAAAACACATAAAAATGGTGGAATTGTGCCTGTTATATAAATCTAAAAATTCCTTTAAGGCAAAATACACATATCTGTGCCATGTTGCCAAACTGGTTGTCAAAGGTCAGGACAAGCTGTTCCAGCTTATTTAGTAAGGTCCTCTCCAAGACCTTGGATAAAGTACTTGCCAGAGCTATAGGCCGGTAATTATCCTGATTCCATGCTGTTTATTTTCCCAGCTTTGTCTTTAATAATTGGCACTAACATAACAGATAAAATGGAATCAGGTAAAATACTATGAACTAGAAATCCAGTAAAACAAATGGCAAGCAGAGGACAGACTTTTCTACTTGCAAA